TCTGAAAAACATCTAATAGTGGAAGTTCTTTACTAATACTGAACGAGTCTGTTAATTAGGTTTGGAAGATTGACCTACGATTAATAGAGCCATTCAAATAGCGATATTGTTGTGATTAGTTTGCATACTCGAGCACGCGAACGTTCTCTTCGATAAATCACTGTCGCTTCGTACAAATTTCGCAAGAACAAAACTGTCACGATGAATTTCAACCGCGACATGGACTGTTATCATCGCCCATCAGTTTTACTGATTGAGTAGTGTTAAACACTCACCGAATCAACGTCATCAGCACTCATTCCGTAAAGAATACATTTACGATAACCGAGCTCCAAAGGATCCTCCCATTGCGGTTTTACTTCCTGCTGAAAAGTTGTCTGTTACCGATGACCGCTGAAATCTGATTATTTATCGAATTTTGCAAATCAGCATTTTCTTTCTCCTCTTGTTCTGCGCTATCTTGGGAAGACGTTGACCAACTCTGACGACCAAGAAAACTGAGAAGCATGTTAGATCAAAGTATTCCGTGGTGGATAATTCGTATGCGAATGCAAGCTGTCATTGGGCTTGAGACTCATATGGGTAAAAACGAAAACTCAGTTATTCCAAAATACTGCATAAGAAACGATGCAGTATCGACTGAAACTTGCTCAATTTATCAGAAAGGTTTCTCTGAACCAAAGAACAATTAAAGGCATTTGGAGAAAAGCAACTGAATGACTAAAATGGTTGAACAAACAGAGTCAACAGGTAAATTACCATTGAGTATTTGGACTCTGATGAGTTTGGTGTGATAAGGAGAACGGTTATTATACCGAAGGCGATAAAAACAACAATCGCTACGAATGCAGAGCGAAATCCGAGTTCAAACATCGGAGTATATAACAGCACTCGACAATTTTATGAATGAAACTGCAATCAAGAGTATCGCGCAACTGAAATTGTCTCTTCATTGTAACAGCGTTGCTATCATCATTATAAGGATGGCACACCTGAGCAAAACCGTGTCCCATCTCACTGAGAGGATCTTCCTTTCGTTATCACGTGCTGAATCGTTATCACTTTCGAACGTCTTGAGCAGTTCAAACGACGATCGATAAACATCCCATGAAAGGCCAATGAATTATGAATGTTTCAGTAGCTA